GATCCTCTGGTGCGACAGGTATCTGATTATAGCCCGAGTATCCATCAAGAAAGCAGTAGTGTGAATGTCCGGCCAACCTCTCCAACATCTGATCAATGAATGGGAGTGGGAAGTGATCCTTTCGTGTAACTGCATTGAGTTTGCGATAGTCAATGCAAACTCTCCAACTCGTAACTGTTCTAGTGGGAATTAGTTCATTCTTCTCATTTTTCACCACTGTGATTCCCCCTTTTTTCGGTACCACTTGAACTAGGCTGATCCATGCACTATCTGAAATTGGGTAGATAATTCCTCCATCTAATAACTTCAGTATCTCTGCTCTCACCACTTCCTTCATGTTTGGGTTCAATCTTCTCTGACTTTCTATGCTAGGCTTGCAATTTTTCTCCATTAAAATTTTATGCATACACAGGGAAGGACTGATTCCTTAAATGTCAGCTATTGTCCAACCAATCGCCGTCTTGTTCTCTCTAAGTACCCTGAGCAGTTTTTCCTCCTCCATCTCACTAACTGTGTTCGAAATGATTACTGGAAGTGTATCTGATTCTCCTAAATATGCATATTTGAGATGTGGCGGTAGTTGTTTGAGTTCTAAAACTGGCGGCTGCTGAACTGAAGGTAGTGGCTTTGTGTTTCCCATCCCCAGTTCCTCGAAGTGCCTCTTTCGTGTGTATGGCGGGTTGGTCTCCAAAAATCTTGCACATGTTTCAACTTCAAAAGACTCTGATTGGATTGATTGGGATTGTGCAATGCATGCCTCATAGGCATCAGATGGACCGTGTAATAAGAATGTTTCTTGTACTGCCTTATCAATAATGTCAACTTGATAACAGCTATCAGATTCTGCTGGTAATTTCATTGCCTTGAATACATTGAATGATATCTGCTCCTCTCCCAATCTTAAAATCAACTGACCTTTTTGAACATCAATTAATGCTCTCCCTGTTGCCAGAAATGGTCTGTCAAGTATCAATAGAACGTCATTGTCCTCTTCCATGTCCAGGATAAGAAAGTCCGCTGGGAATATGAACTTCTCAACCTTGATAAGCACATCTTCAATTATTCCTCTGGGATGTGTCAGTGACCTGTCAGCCAGCTGAAGTGTCACAGTGGTTGCTTTAGCTTCTCCCAATCCTAGTTTCCTGAAAACAGACAAAGGCATTAAATTAATACTTGCACCGATGTCACATAATGCTTTATCAAAATATACTTCACCGATTGTGCAATGAACAGTAAAACTCCCTGGATCTTTTAGTTTTGGTGGAAGCTTATTCTGAATTCTGACACTACATTCCTCGGTAAGCATGACTGTCTCATGATCTTCAGGCTTGCGTTTATTTGATATGATATCCTTCAGAAATTTAGCGTAGCTAGGCATCTGGAACAGTCCATCAGCTAGTGGGATGCTGATATGGAGCTTTTTGAAGATTTCTAGAAATTTTTTGTATTGTTGCTCCACTTTTTGCTTCTTCAAGTGCTGTGGAAAGGGAATCGGAGGTTCGTAGGGGTTGACTGTGACTTTGGCTTTATCTTGTGATTCTTCTGAACTTTCCTTTGAACTTGATTCCTTTACAACAATCTCTTCTTCAGTGGAGGAAGATGTTTCTCCAATCACCCCCGGTCTCTTGACATGGATTTCAGGTAATTGCATTCCACTTCGAGTTATAATGGCCTTGGCTTGCTCTTTAGGATTGATTTCTGTATTAATTGGTAAGTTACCTGGTGTTCTGCCAGTCAATGCGATGGCTAGCTGCCCCATCTGAGTTTCCAAATTTTTGATGGCTGCATTTTGATTTTGAAGTGTAGCTTCGGCCTTTTCCATGAATTTTCCTATCATATCTTCCAATTGAGGCCTCTTCTCCTACTGTTGAAATTGCCCCTGTGGCTTATTCTGATTCTGGTTGCTCCAAGAGAAGTTGGGATGTTTCTTCCAGCTGGGATTGAAAGTCCCGCCATATTGATTATGCTGCTGACGTTGTCCCCACTGTGCGTAATCTGCTTGCTCAATTCCTTGCATGAGTATAGGGCAATCTGATGTTTTGTGCTCGGCTCCACATTCCTCACAATTGCTCTTCTTAGCTTGTGATGCTTGTGATATGCTTTTCATCTTATGATACAGAGAATCAATTTTTGCAGAGATTGCTGAATAAGCGTCCACCTCGTAGACACCTGGAGTTTTCTTTGGAGTCGCTCTCTCAGAAGACCACATGGCTGATGTGGTAGCCATTCGCTCAAATAATTCCAATGCCCCATCAACTGTTCTTGTGGATATTGAGCCATGTGATGCCGAATCTACCATGCTCTTATGGTATGGAAGTAATCCTGTGTAGAAGAATCAAATCTGGGTCTTTTTATCGAACCCATGCTGAGGGCATTTCCAAAACATGTTTTTAAATCTGTTCCAGGCTTCATCAAATGATTCAGTCTCTCCTTGATTGAATACTGATATATCATGTCTCAGCTTTGCTATCTTGGCTGAGGAGAAGAACTTTGTGCAGAACTTGTGTGCCAGCTCATTCCATGTAGTGATACTTGCAACCGGGAGTGAATCCAACCGTTCAAGTGCTCTGTCTCGTAACGTATGTGGAAAAAGCCTCAACCTAATAGCGTCATCCGAAATCCCTTGGTATCTGAAATGTTGACACATATCCAGAAATCAAGATACGTGTGTGTGTGGGTTCTCCTCAGTCTTGCCATAGAATTGGTGTCCATTTTGAAACAGCTGTATCACATTGGTCTTCAACTAAAAATTAGGTTGCCCAAACGGTGGGTACACTATGCTAGACTGGCTTTGAATCACTTGAGGAGTCAAGAAATCCCCCAGAATCTCATTCTCTTCGTCCATTGCCTCTCCTTCGTTAGCATGAATCATGGGATTGTTTAATTCGTTGGCCATTTATACTTGTGCTTCGCGGTGATTTCTTTGTCGTCGGTGAAAGGTGCGCTCAATTTCAGGATCAGCTGGAATCAATTCTTCTTCAGGCAATCGTGACATGCAAATCTGAGAATTAAAACCAGTATGAGCACTGAGATTCAAACAATTTAATTAACTAAAACACAAATAGAGGATAATAACCTAAAATGAAAATAAAAATAAAAACAAAATTATGCTAGTAAAATAAAAAAAATTGAGTTCGAATTAGTGCCTCAAGAAATAAAATTAAACTAAACTCAATCCCCGGCAACGGCACCAAAAACTTGTTCGCGAAATATTTCTTTCGATTTAAATTACCGCAAGTGTACGGGTCGTGACAAGTAATAAAGTGGACTTTAGAAGTCCGAGTATCGTCCCACAGAGAAAGAGTAGTTCAATTTTATTTATTTTAGCCTTAACCGAAACTAATTGATTCAAGATGAATTTTAGAATTAGAAGCCCTAATTTTGGGGGAAATCCCCAAATTTAAAAACCCTAATTTCAAATCAAACCCTAATTTTGGGGGAAATCCCCAAATTGAAAAATCCTAATTTCAAATCAAACCTTAATTACTTAAATTCGCTTAATGAATGACTCAATTACGAAATGTTATGAAAATAAATGAAATGTATTGTCAATTTATGAAAATCTATGTAAAACGAATGCGCTAGGATCACGAATCCCCAAATAATTACTAATTAAACCCTAATTTCACAATTTTGATATTCCAATGAGAATTTGACAAATCAATGCTCCTAAATTTATTCAATACTCTCTCTCGAGATATATTGAACCTATTCTCATAAATCACCAGCCTATATTTCTATAACGGATGCAATTATACAAGAATGCATGTAATTTTATTTTGTGAGCAATTAAAGATTTACATAGGGCATATGGATATATTTATATCCCCTATCGGACCCTATGATGAATCATATATGTCGAGTTTAATCCAATTTTCTCAAATTCAGAATTAAACCACCAAATTCACACAAATTAAGTGCACATTAATTGTGGAAATAAATAAATCAATATAATTCATTCAAATATCCCATCGAACTATAAATTCAAAATCATGAAATAACAAGTTTAATAATAATTACATGGTTCATCGATCACCTAGTTGCAGAAATCTAGCCTATCATGATAAAAATAACGAAATCTAACAAGTTTTGAATAAAATACATCACCGGGTTATCAAAACTTGAAGAAATCTTGTAAATCTTCGCATCAATCCTTGTTCTTGCCTTCAAATCCTCTCCAAGATGAATGTTCTTGCCTCCCAATTCGTTCGTGCGGCTTCTGGATGTTTATTTGCTATTTAAACCAGTCGAAATTAGGTTACCAAAGGAGTTGCAATCATATAAGGAAACTGCAAAAATCGGGGACAGATTATACCTATGCTACCGCATAGGCATATAAAAAATGGCGTTTTTAATCCCTGGAGGGTCACTCGCGACCGCATAGATTTTATACTATGCGACCGCATAGTAGAGCGAACTTCTAAGGCCATGGAATGTCGACAATCTGAAAATTTATTACAAGTAACTAACTATAGTTATAATTTTTCCTTTAAGGTTTGCATGCCCACATTATGTTTGCTTGAGGCCATTCAAGGTAAGGCCTCGTGCTACGCTCAACGTCTGCATAAATAAAATCGACGTTAGTCCGATGAAAGAAATTCAAATAAAGGAAACACAATTGAGGTTGATATCTTAACCTCAATGTCAGGACCTCCAATATCTTAACCCCCTCATGCATGTTGACCTCTTTCTCAAACCGTCCAACAAGATCCTTCATGAGGGCGCACTCAGAATACTCCTCGAGGGCGCTATCAGAGATGGGAGAGAAGCCTGAGTCAACAACCCCCTAGCATTCCCGAGCTCGATCTTGTACCCTGGGTATTGGCTGAGGTGGTAGGGTCGGGGTCTTGGACATCGAGGACTGGCCCTTATGCAAGGTCGGGGTCACCTCCACCGGGGGTTCCCTCGCAGCGACCTCCCTTACCCTCTTCTTCCCCTTAGATGAAGCCAGGGCTTTAGGCTTTGGACCCTTGGCCTTGTGCTGGATGTTCGCGAGAAGGTTCGATGGGTTGAAAGACATTTCCAAATCTGCAAAAATAAATCATAAGACATTAGACCGACCTTAAGGTCAAAGAGAATCTACGAGAAGAAAACAAGATGAAAGGACGTACTCTTGAGGCCTTTTACATTGGCAAGGTCAAGGGTGTCATTCTTGAGCAAGTAATCAATCTTCTCTGCCAAAGGATCGTGGTTGATTAACCTTAACCTATCTCACTCTAATTCCTTGAAGTATGCTTGTCCTTCGTTAAATCTATCCTTGTCGGGTACCTCCCACTTCAGATTAAATGGGTGGTTAGGGTTTTGTGGTTTCACGAAAAAAACCTCTCTTTCCAACCCCGGAGGGAGCTCAGGGTCTCTGGTGTTCTAAACCCTTTCCTTTGTTGATAAATAAACAAAGCAGTTGTACCCCAAAGAGAATTTCATATCAAAAACCATTCTTAGAACGTCTAGTCTAGGCTCAACCTCGATGCATCTACACAAAATGAAGAAGTACACTAACAGTCTCCAACCGTTTGGGACTAATTGGCCCGAGCATATGTAGTAAGAGGATAGAAAGTGGATGAAAAAGGAATGAGGAGGCCATCTAAGCCCGGCCTTAAAAGTATCCCTGAAAAATGTCATCTCCCCCTCCCGAACATCCAATACCATTTCAGTACGCCCCGGGGACCTAACATCACAGGCAAGCATGAGGCCGAACTCCCTGGCTATCTTAATAATAAAATGCTCTTTATACTTGGTCGGTTCCTTAGGATATGTCAAGCTAACGTGGATATCGACATGCGAATTGATACGGATGGCCCGGGGAATGAGGGATGTATCTACATCAACAGGCTTGTCACTTTTGAACGAGACCCTAGATGGATGACTACTATCACTATCACTCGACCCCGTACTACTACTGTTACTCGACATTATACTTATTCAAAAAATAACTTAAGGGCTCGAACTCTTACCTTTTCAGATGACCGCTTACTAACTCACAATCCTCGAACTCGAGCTCGATTTTACTGAGAGTAATTGAGAGTGAAAAGTGAAAATGAATGGTGAAAGTTGGAGTATTTATAGGAAACTGTAGAATACCAACGATCTATTAATCCCAACCCTTGGACCAAGCCACGTGGCACCCATCCGAGGTCGAGTTCTGACATTCCATCAAGCGCGTGACACGTGGAGCGACACCTGGACATTTATACCTCTGCATCTTCACTCATAGTTTAGGCTTGGACCATAATCCACGACATTGATGCACGGGGGCCAGTGATCACCCCAGAATTACCCGATCACGAACTCGAACACAAGTCCCCGAGCTTGACCTCTCTCAAAACCACCAATATAAGGTTGGGTCACTGAGGTTGGGCCTCCGTGTCGTCATGTCAGGTCTTTTTGACAACCTATTGGAACACAAATTCTACCCAACCTACAATTCTTATCTAGCTAGATTCCTTTTTCGACTCAAACAGCGATTGAATACTTGGAATGAAACACTAATCCCTTATCCTACAAGGATAAGGATCACACATGGCTAAGTCCTTCTAGGACTCTATCATCGGTACCTATAAATACATAACCGGGCTCATTCTTGAGGTACATTGTTCATTATTTCTAATTTATAGCCTCACGCACTAAATTCTCTATCTGACTTAAGCATCGGAGGGGCGAGAGCACACACCTTGTTGCCTTTGTTTCAGGTATTCGAAGACTGCTCGTGTTCATCAAAGTTCGGAGTTCGATCATCAAGCTTAAGATCTTTCAGGTACTATTTTTTGGTAGCATCAAGTACAATACCCCTATTGTAAATAAGTCGGGTGTAGAAGAACCACTGAAAATTAGGCTGCTCGTACAACCTACAATCTGTCAATACATAATCTTAGTTAGCAACTGCTGCCTTTTCATTGGTTATCTTTTCACTCCCATCATTTTTTGCTTCTTTGGCAATATCAACTTTCTCCATCTGGTTAGTAATCTCATTGGCTCCATTCTCCGCCTTTCCATTAACAGCTGAAAAGTTTAGCTCTTCATGAGTCGAAGGGTCAGTTTGCCATATTCTGATAGTCCCGTCTTCTGATCCTGAGGCATAAGATTCACCACTGGAAGAGAAACGAAGACAGTGCACTAGACCATGGTGACCTTTGTTGCATCCTATTACAAAAGAACATGTGCAAGAACAGCTTAGGAAATATTCCATGAATGGGAATCAGTTCACACTTCACAATATTAACCAGAAAAGAATAACATTAATAATATTCACAATTACATCAACGAGAGAGGCAATGAAACTAATGTTATGCACCTAAACAGCTTAAGAGAAATATAAATTTGAGCTGTTAACTTCTCTAGTCAATTAAACTAAAAGACTCGATGCCAAATGTCAAGCAATTAAATCAGAAAGGATGGATTCCCTTACCAAATATGCGACATCAAGCATGACAACAGTATCGAAAATGGCAATTATTTTCTTCATACAAAACTATTTCTTAACAGCGTGATTTGGTCTGGATGCACTAGAAAATATACACTGCATCTACGGTAATCTCACGTCAACTGACAGTGGGGGGCATATAGAAAAGGGAAAAAGGAAGGGATTGACGAAAAAGATCCCAGAATAGACAAGTCTGACAGCATGTTGGTGAGCAAGAAAGACCAACAATGAAAAGGTATAAAGGACTTACCAACTTCTGTCCCTATATGAAAATCAAACACGTGAATCCGCATGTCTTCTCCTCCAGCAATAAACTTGTTACAATATTTAGGTTCCAATGAAGCCGATTCCACAATACATGGCACATCATAGCTCTTCACCAATCCAAAGCTGTTAAGTTCTGGGATGCAAATCAGTAAGCCTCTCTCTATCGCTCCCAGTTAACAGTTGACCCATCTGCGCTTGTTATGTAGCGTCCATCTTGACTCACTTCAGCACAGGTTACATAAGACTTTGTCTCAACTGTTCGAACAATTGTGCCAGTTCTCACATCCCACAACCTAGGCCATCAGTCCATGGAACATTAAATGGAATTGATGTATTGAATGTCAGAAAAACTGAAGTTTTAGAAACTTAAGTAGAAGTGAGCTAATGGAGGTTCTCAATTAGAAAGAAAAAATATCTATTTATTCTGATAGAAATTCTAAAACTCTTTAGTCTGTGAGTTTAGTTGGGGGGGGGGAATATTCTTCTGTCCCATTAATATAGGTTGGTTATGTTTTTCACACGGATTAAGAAATCTTATTTAATATTATTGAAAAAATAATTTTTGCCAAAAACCTTCCTAGTTTATGCTTATTTATATTTGTACAATTTCAAGATTAAGTGAAAAAAATTAGTTATATCTAGGCAAATTAAATAAGGGTACATCAGTAATCGAACAAAACAAAGCATTCTCAATAAAAAAAACATGATTATATAATTGGGATAAGAAAATAAGGAAAATCAGTCGATATAAACGGGACTGAGGGAGTATACGGTATGATGCAAGTTCTGAAAAGTGCCAACCTGAACACATTACAGAGATTTACAGGCAGTGACTTGAATTATAGAAACAAATAACATCAATTTTTCTGTCCAAGTACCTCACCCCAGCCATATCAATGCAGGAACTTAAGATAGTTTGGTCACTGTGGAGCCAAGCGACAGTTCTAACAGACCCAGGAGACTTTTCAACTTCCGTAGGAGGTGCATCAGGTCTATTTAAATCAAATATGCGAAGACATTTTTCAACACCTCCAGTTAGTAGACGGTGGCTGTCCTGAAATTTAATCAAAAAATTTAATCCTTCAACGGTTGTCAGATAAATATAATAAATACATAATAATCATTGAGCTGAAAATTCCAACCTATATTGATGTATAAAAGTCAATAATGGCTTGTTTACGTAGATAACAAAGAGCTTGTCGGTCGATGAGGTTTAGCATATCAATGATTATTTAAGAAACTAAAATTTAAATGGAAAAGGCTGGAACCAGGAACCCAATGTGACTTGCAAACCCACCAAAATGCACTTAATAGAACTTAATTTTTGCATTGAAAACTATTCAAATGATATCCAGCCAAGTAAAAGGTTTGCAGTCCAAATCCTTATAGAAAATGAAGAAACGCAAAGAAATTCGTACAAATGTTTAAAGCCATTATTTATAGTTCAAAAGTACCTCTGAGAAGGCACATGTCCGAACTATGTGCTTGTGCTCAAGAGAAAGCAATTCATCGCCAGTTAACGCATCCCATATTTTCCTGGAAATAATAACATAAACCACAAATAGCATTAATGCATTTGTAAAAGGATGCCATAAACCTAAAAATTTACAGAAATTGGGACTAAGCCTCTATTTGCTGTTTTTTGCCAGCTAAGAAGCACAGATATGGACGCGTTGGCACGGGATTATTAAAAAAGTAGGACGGGACACGTTGATCTATATTCTTTTAAATTGAACTTATATATAGTATATCTTTATTTCTAGTCTTTTATTTAATAAAAATGAATACTTTTTTTAGTTTTGATTTTTGCTGGTGAATTCTTTTAAATCAGAGGGTTATCAATTTCGTATATCCTTTAAATTTTTTATATCTTTTCGATACTTTCATTCTATATAGTATATCTATTTATTAATACTGCTAGATAAAGAAAGATACAAATAATAGATGTAAAACAAATTTTTCATGAAGTTGGTATAACTTTTATCACATTATTTTGATGCTTCTAGGTTATTTTCTAATAATAAAAATCTTTAACTTTATATTTCAAAATTTTAAATGTGAGTCCTTTATTATCAAGAACATGTTCCTTGCTTGTTAAAACTATAAGATAATGAACAAAAAGGGTCACGCCAAATGGGATTTTGGATAGTGCACGAAGAGTATTTCTAAAGTATCTCTTGTGAGTTGAAAATTTAAAAAATTATATAGAAATAGGACACCCCACATGGCAAGTCAGGCACATATCCTAGAGGGTTGCTAGAAGAAGTTTCAAACATGTGTTGCTGAATGTCGTGGTGTGCGGAGCTACTGCACGGAGGAGGAATTGGACTTTTCTCGGGGTGAGAATCTTCGACAGAGATCGTACCTTCAGTTTAGCAATAAACCAAGGAACTTCTCGCATTGCACATAGGGTTCGAGGAGTGTTGATGTCTGACGTGACACGTCTAATACAATAATGCCATTATGCTTGGAGTATTCATGATTCATGAGTTGGCGATCAAATGTCCCCAATCAGTGTCAAATAAGTGCTCCAATCACAAGTGGAGTCCACGTCAGAGATCTAATGTCCATACATGGAAAATCTTAAATCTTAAATAGAATAAAATGTAAGAACTTGACCACTTACGCAGAAAAATCAGCAAATGTAGAAGCAGCACGTAGAGCATGCTTATCTAGACAACAACTCCAAACTGCGCCTTTATGCCCTTGAAAGGTTCCAATCCAATCTCCGGTTTCTCCATTTCTCAACACTGGTGTGGAATCTGGGTAAGCAAAGATAAAGCCATAAAGAATAGTTCAAAGCATAATCCATAATAGATTGAAGTTCAGTTTAAAGAAATCTTATAAATAATCCACCACCGTAATTATATTTATTACATTTAAGAGCTATCTAAAGTGCATGATTCACGCAAAAATAAAATAAAATACTAGGTACGAACTGAAACTAGTTTATGGCCTTGCATTGTGCAATCAGCAACACAATTGAAAAAAATCTGCTTCGTAACTGACAGTGTTGAACTCGAAGAACAGCTGCCAAATGGCAAAGCCGGTATGTTTTCAAGCCATAACCCATAAGTATTTGTAACAGTACGTATAAACGCCATTCCTGCCGGGTAAGGTGAGCAGCAGAAGTTATCCATTTAGGAAAAAGCCATTTGTACATAGGGGTGTACACTTCGGTGTACATGTACACCGGAGTGTACACCCCCTTGTATGTGTAGCCGAACTCATCCATTTATCATGTTTCCCAATGTTCAAGGGTAATAATTGTGAAATCATTGCCGTTGATCATAAAAATAAATAAACGCTTTAATCCATTGAACTTCGCCTGTAAAGTAATAAATTTTCTACATCTATACTATGGTCCCATTTGGAAGGGATTTTGAGAATTGATTTTTTGACCGTAAGAAGAAAAGTGGGGTCCCCATGTGAAAGAAGAAGTAAAAAATTACGGCTAACGGTCAAAAAATCAATTTTTTGGGATAAAAAATCTCTCCCAAACAGACCCTATATCATATATGAACTTCGCTGAGCTGCTATCATCAAACAATTAAAATTGTAGCATTCCACAACCTTATTCAATCAATTAATCATCAGCCATTCAGCATTTTCAAAAGCAAACGAATATCTCCCACACAGAACACATTTCAGCAGATAATATATATTCACCTTTGCTAGCACTAACAAGGAAAAACCCATCGGGAGTGATCGGGCTATAGAACAAATCAACAACGGGACGAGAATGTCCATGGCAAACCAGTGGTGTTACTACCTTCTTCTTATCCATTCTTCAAATGCCCAAAATACAATCCTAGAAAAATTACTCTTCTAAATGTAAAAGAACTAACAAAAATGACCCCAAATCAGGACGATATTTAAACCCAGAAAATGACAATTGACAGCAAAAAAAATTGAACAATTGCCTTACAAAAGGTCAGATTCTGATGGCAACACTTTATTTTCTTTGTTTTGAAAAAATACCGATTAAAAACAGGAAATTTCTGCGATTAGTTTTATCTATGAAGTTTAATCACAGGTACATATGTATGAATTATATCAGAGTGGATCCACGCCTTCTAACCCTAGATAGATCAAATTTAAATGTTTAATTAAAAAAAATTAGACGTAAAAATTGGGGGGAAAGAACTCCGCGTTAATAAAATATGACTATGAGGCTAGGGCCACGAGGCGCAGAGAAAATACTAAATAGTGACATGCCTCAGAGTATTTATAGCGAGAAATTTTCGATTTATCCATTTTTCCTAGTTTTTATTCGATCTGACACTTGTTTGGTGGCCACTAATTTCAAAATCTTTAATTTACGTATTTATTTTCAATTACATATTTATATAATAAAATATTTAATAGATAAATTAAAAAAAATTCTTACTTTCTTAACCACATATTTTTCAAAAATTACTATTCAAAAAATTATTTTTAAAAAAATAATTGCCACCAAACAGGGACTTAATTTGACAAATCAATGAGCTTAATTGTATTTGGACGGCTTAAAATCACATTTTAATTACACAATTAATTAATATGATTTAATCATGGGAAATATTATTTTAGTGTTACAAAGGTATCTAATTTGCCATAATATTAACTTTTGGATAATTCTAAGTGTACATAATTTGGTTTATCAAATGGTTTACCCACTTTCACAAGTACGTGGACCCTGCATGAATAAAATAATTCCAATATGTGGTCCCCACACCCCTATTGTGAGTGTATGTTAAGCATCAGATAAAAAAAATTTAAGTACATCTAGCATGGTCCCCTCTCCAATGGATAACATGATCCCCATCCCATTATTCATCTCATTTAAAAGTTCATTTCAAATTTAAATTTTTTCTCACACAAAAAGAAAATAATCATCATTCATTCTAAAGAAAACATGGATTGTTGTTAATAAATTGGAAAAAAAAAAAAGGTAATATTTTTCACTAACTATATATGAAAAAAATAATAAAATAAATAAATGGGATGATAAAGAGGACGGGTCAATGTGACAAAAATATCCTACTAATTAGGAAAAAGAATGGTTGTCCCAAAATCGACTTGCACCGTTGTCATCCATTAATATCGTGAACAATTATATTAGATGGTTGTGGTTAGATTAGAGATTGAATTGTGATGACGAATATTAGTGATCACTCAACAATATCTGTTATTACAATTTCCAAAGTAGTCTCAAATTTCCTTTTATTTTATTTTTGTCAAGCAACTAAATTTACACCTAATTTATAAATTATTTGAATTGAACAGTAATACAAATGTGAAATCTAAAGATTACCTATTGTTAGTCATCAATTTAGGTGGCAATTATAGACATTAAATGATAGATTCATTTAAATATAAAGTCATGACTCATTTAATTGAACTAATAAAGTGTAGTCATTTAAACTAGTGTTCTAACATCAATAGTGCTTAATAACATTATTATTCTTCTAAATATTCATGATTCTTCGTTTCATTCATGCATGCATACGAGCATGCCTATCACTTTTGTCGTAATCTTATATTCTATCCCTTGTGATATTGCACAACTATATGAAAACTATCAACGGCTTAATGTCGTATTTTAACCATCTTTAAAATCAACATATGATAATTATTAACAACCTTGTTATATTCTTATATAAGGAAGATTTTGCTAGTGGTATATGCTTGAATGAGTAATAATTAAAGAAAATAAGTTAAAATTTCGTTGTAATATTGTACAATATCATAATATCCTAAAAAAATGATAGATCCAAAATAAAGAGAGAGAGAGAGATTACGCACAAACCTATTTTTTAATTATCCATTTCAATAATCAGGTCATTTGGATAGCGAATTACCTATGGCAAAACCCTAATCCCAACCCCCATTTTCATCCCCCTAAAAACCCTATTTGCACCACCATCCTTTTGCTCGCAACTCACGCCACTTTTTTAACCATTGGCCACCTCCTGTTGACTCTAACACATCTCACAAGCAGCCCCTCAGGGCACATCTCCAAGTGGTAAAAGAGGAGGGTAGAGAAATTCAACTTTGCTTGAGGTTGCCGCGTCAAGGGTTCGAATTTTGAAATATGGATTTGGCTCTTGGGTAAGTGCAAGTGTACAAGTAGCCTTCCATCCTGTACCCTTGGAGGCATAACCTGCGATTTACCTCCCTCACGATACTTCAGGACAGGGGCGGTGAAGGACCCTTAAGGTTGGGGTTCAACCTTTAACACATCTCACAAGCAGCTACATCAGGACATTTTAATTGAAATTGAACCTCTCGAATTGAAATTGAAGGTTTTGGTCCAATTCCAAAAAAAAAATAAAAAATTAAAATCTAGAATCGACTGGGTCCGAGTCAATTCTTGATTTCTGAATGAGAACCGTGGGTGCCCGAATGAAATCGATTTTTATATATTTTTTATTTTTTACAATTTATAGGCTAGGTGAAAAAAAAATTACAAAACATAAAAACTTTGGGTGCGTTCTCTTTGTTTTTTTCAAACCGTTTTCTGTTTTCGATTTTTTTAAAATGGTGAAAACGCGTTCTCTTTCCCGTTTTCGAAAACACGTTTTTGAAAAAAAAAATTGTACTGAAAACACAAAACGATGGTTTTATCGTTTTGGATGTTTTCAGTGTAAAACTTGAAAATTTTGAAGACGAGGAAAATGCTCCCATTTTTTATAAAATCCAGTCTCTGCCATCTCTCTCTCTCTCTCTCTCCCTCCTGGAAGTGGTCGGACCCCTGCTACCGTGATTTTCACCGCCGACGACGCAACCCACGGTCGCGGACCACCAGCCCTAACACCGTCACCGCCTCATCATGGCGCGCCCAACGAACCCATGGGTCATTACCAATGTCGCCGGAAAATCTGTTGTCGGCCGCAAGTTCGCTGTGTCAAATTTTTGCTGTAGATTTCGAATTTCTGTGTTGTTTGTTGTTATAATATCATGTATGGGCGCGCCTTGCTGAGCTTTATCGAGCTGTGGGGTGTGATTAACATGGGCAACAACTGGGTTGATCGAATTTGGTAGAAAATCGTGCGTGAGTGGTTGTTTTTGGACAGTACTTGGCTTGATTTTGCTGTCATTGGGGTTGTTGTTTGTGTAGGGTTAGTGGGGATTGATGAGGAGATGGTGTTGGTGCAAAAATTCGGTGGCGATGGTTGTTGAAAGTCGGGTGGTGGTCAGTTTGTGAGGTTGAAGACGGCAGCTCATGGTGGCTGGAGAAGAGAAAATGACCACTTTGATTTCCAGAAAAGAAAATATTTTTAATTTTCATGTTTTAAAAAATATTTTTCAAAAATGACAAAAAGAACATGTTTGTAACAATTTCAAAATATACACTCAAAATACAAAACTCAAAACTAATACACAAAGAGAACAATCCCTTCAATTTTGGTAGCAATTTGTTTAAAACTCTAAATGATTGGCTCTTACTTTTTTTGTCTCCTACTTCACATCAGATTTTTGCATTTTTAAAAATAGTAAATGTTAATATTTGAGATTTGGTCATTCTATGAATCAAAGAGTTCAAGTTAGGGTTGTCATGGTTGATAAAACAAAGCGATCATTCTTTACAATTCGAATTTATTTATTTATTTTGCACTGTTTACAAAATTAAGTGGCAATTTGACTTGATATATTTATAACTTGGGCCCTGGTGAACCTTTTTTTTTTCTTTTATCTTGAGTTCGTGATTCGCTTTTGAAATATATTTTTTCCTTTTTTACTTAAAGAAATCGAGCTCAATACATGGATTGTAATTTCTTGATACTACATAATTATATATTCAATTAATATTTTCTTATATTAGTTCGTTTTAAAAGTAAAAGTAAGCATTATTCATAATTTATTATAGGTACTAGCATGTCTCATTATGGATCAACAAGATTTATTTAAAAAATCATTTCTTCTCGAATTGTAATTTAATCTTTGATGTTTTAATTTTCTTCTATTTTCGTGATTTTTAATCTCCAATACTTTGAGTTATGTAGCTAAATTTTTTAGCTTCTTGAAGATTTCTTAGCTAAATTTTCTCCCTTGCAAAAAGATTGTCGAGAATAGCTTATTATTATTATTATTATTATTATTATTATTATTATTATTATTTGAGGTCGAAATTTGTAAGGCTAATTTCGAGCCAACTTTAAGAAAAAGGGCGATCTGTTGCTAAATCAGATCATGAAATATATAGAGAAGATGTGATCGGATTATGATCTTTTTTCTTGTCCGTCCCCTTTACAAAACTTCTACTCCATTATTTATACATGGCTTTAGCCGAAATTACATCAAACCAGTCAAATCAACTACAGTACCGAGCTCGAAACTCGGGTCACCGAATTTTCCTGTGGTTGGTCAACGAGACCGGCAGCCATGTGTCAATGTTTTCTCCATGTAATGATGACTTGCAAGGGACTTGAGATTCTGGGCTTTGGATTAGTGGTTTTGGGCGATGGTGATGTCACTCCTGATAAATGTATTGATTTAAGAGATTGGTGTGACAAGGGGTAATCATGATGTTTTCAAAGGTTACGACGGGTCGAATCCGAGCTGTGAAAGATCCGAACTCGCACCTGATAGAGATGGGCCCCAGGACAAATCTCATGAGATCGGAGTTTGGTGGTCAATAGTTACCGCCCAGGTCAGTTCTGCCGTAAGGGAGGCTGACCTCCTTAGTCGGTTCTTTTTCCAAGGAATGTAATTATTGTAGTGCTAAGTGTCATTGTTTCAACAGGGATGAGTTGTACAGCACTTATGGTTACTTCCTTGGAAAGCTTTTCGGCAACAGGGCTTATGGGCCATTGATTTTTCCCTCCCTTTTTCATTAGGCGGCCCAAATCTAAGACCTTTGGCCTTCCTCCCTCTTTTTAATTTCCCATTTGCCTTTTCATTTAACCATTTCATGCTGTGCATTTTCTCTCTGGGGCAGTGGATGAATTTTACAGATACGTCTTTCCACCTTCGCTTAGTGAGATCGCCTTTCGAGTTCCTTGGTATTCTTTCGCTTTCCTCCCTTCATCGTTCCTCTTTGCATTTTCTCATGAGTTCGGATGAGTCTAGGGTACATTCCTGGGGGAACCAATAGGAAGAGTCCGACCCTCCGTCTTCTAGTTCGTCGTCAGCGTGTAGGGAAATTTTTACTCCTATTCTTATCTCAATTGCTAACCCGTCACCATAGCTCGTCCT